CCATGATTGGCATCGCGAAGGCGCGCGAAGAGCTGGAGGCCCCAGAGTGCGCGGTCGTCGATTTCAAGGGCGCCTTCAAGCACCTGCCAGTCTGCCCCTCTGCGAAGCGGTCCTTGACGGAGAGCCCGGCGCAGTCGCGCGCCGCGGCATCCTGTTCGGCGAAATTGGCGGCCCACTCTTCTGGGGCCGCGCCCCCGCACCACTTCCAAGAACTCCCGCCGCGCTCGTCGAGCCTTGGCGACTTGGCCTTCAGCGTTACGTCGACGACCCGCTTGAGATATAGAGGCAGCCCGGACCGTCGCGACCGCGCGCTGCCCATGGCCCCGCTGGCCTGAAAGCGCTGGGCTTCGAGTTCTCACGGGCGAAAGGCGCGCGGGGCCAGGCCGTCGGTTGGATCGGAGACCGCTCGCCGTTTGCCCTCGCCGGCGGGGCCGCCGCGCACGCGGCCGCCGCGACCAGCGAGGACAAGTCCGCCGCCCTCATCACCATGGCGCGCGCATTTCTCGGCAAGGAGGCCGCCTGCCTTGAAGAGGCTGGCCCAGCGTCGCGGGCCGGGTCGATCGCGCCCGCCGCGACGCCGCGCTGCGACGCGCCAAGGGCGGCGGCGCGCGCGCCCCCCGCCAGCAAGAGGACACAGACGAAGATCTCCGCTGGCAGTGTCAACTTGCCTCTTTCGATGGATTGCCGCGTTGGCGGCAGACGGCGTCGTTGGCGTCGCCGGGCATGGCAGAGCCCGCGACGGCCCCAGACGCATCTCTGGCCGGAGCAGGGGCCGCCCTCGAGCTCCCAGGCGGCAAGGCGCTTTTAGCGTCTGACGACCTGGGCGGCAACCGACCACCAAGTCGCCCAAGCAGCGCAGGACGACCCTGCCGCTCAAGCAGCTTGGGAAGCCCATGCCCTATATTCGGCGGCCTGGATCTGGCGCGCGATTTCGCGCCCGTCGTCAGGGCGGCTCGCTTTTCCGCGGCGCGACGCGAAGGGAACCCTCGGGCCGCGGTGCTCGGTCGCGCGCAGGCCCCAATCATCAACGCCATCGTCGCCGAAATACAGCCAGCCCTCGGCGCCGCCACGCGCGCCGCCACGGGCGCGCACTTCTGGGGCGAGGAGAACCACGCGCGCGACGCCCTCTCGCGCCGGGCCGTCGGCGCGGCGCCACCCCCCCACGAGCTCGCCTGAGCCGGGCGCTCGAGAGCCCAGCGACGGGGGCACCGGCGCGCCCGCGGGCGGCCGCAAAGGCTTTGCGTCTTCTTATTATTTGTTTGGTTTGCGCGCGCGGTTTCTCCCACGCGCCGCCGCAGCACTATGAGACACACGCTTATGCAGGGAAAATGCGCGAGGGGGGGCTTGCCCCCTTTCGCATGGAAGCGAGAAGGCGCGCCCGTAGCGACGCGCGGCGCGCGGCCCCCCCAGCGGGCGGGCCAGGAACGACGCCCGCGCCATGCGCGCGGGCCTTCCGCAGGCGAGCGGAGGAGCGCTCGCGTCGCACGTGCGCGCGGCGCCGTTTAGCGCGAGGTGCGCCGCGCGCTCTCCAGGGCCGGCGTCGCTCTCGAGCGCGTCGCGTCGCGTTGGGCCCTGCCATGTAGGAGGGCGGAGGCGCGCGGAAATGCGTGGGCCCTCTGAAGGTGGGCAGGGGCGCGCCCGCGTCGTCCTCTCGTCGGCGGCCATTGCTTATGATGCTGGGCTGGGGCTCCAAGGGCGCGGCTGGCTTCCCGCGCCGGAAACAGACGCGCGCGCTCTTGGCAAGGTGAGATCCTTGGCCGGCGCCTGCCTTGCAAAGTTTGGCCCCGTCGCTGCCATGTGCCGTCTTGTCGCTGCCTCCGACGCGCTGCGAGCATCTGCAGGCAAGCCTGAGCCAAAGTGGCTCACGCCTTGGCTCAAGTGGCTCAAGACCACAGACCAAAGACCCAGGTTTTACCGTTCGCTGCGCCTGGCCCGCCCCAGGCGTCAGCCAGCCACCTGGTTCGGCCAAGGTGAGCAGAGTTCCATGTCCTCCGTGCACTTGGTCCGCCCCAGGTTGCACTCATCCATCCGGTCCGCCCCGAGGGCGCAGCTTCTTCCGACGCCAGGAACCATGGTCGGCATGGACAGGCCGACGTGGGCGACAAGGCCCAGAGCGAACGCGGCGCCCTGACACCGAAGTACCCTATCCAGCACGGCATCATGACCAGCTGGGATGGCGTGGAGAAGATCTGGCACCAGACCATCGACAACGAGCTCCGCGTGGCTCCAGAGGAGCACCCTCTGCTCCTCACAAAGATGCCCCGGGCCCGATTGTCCCAGTCTGCCAGCGGAGGCCACAACCTGGACGGCTCCGGAATGGCATGCCACTGGCGGCTTCTGCAGGAAGGCTTGCAGATGCGTCGAACAGACTCCAGTCGTTTCGCCCCTGCCGCTTCCCCTGCTCCCTGCTCCCTCCCTCCCCAGACCCCCGACGTCATGAATTTTTCATGACGCGACCCCCAGAGGTCCAGACCCATTCCCCGGGACCGGTTTTTCGTCCTGCGTCGTTTTTTGACGTTCCCGAGCCCGGTGAGGGCCCCCAGAGGCCGAAAATTAGGAAAATCCTCCCGTCGTGATTTTTTCATTACTCGAGGGGGTCTGGGTCCCCGCATCTTCACTTTTCCCTCCCTGCTGGCATGCTCTGTCGATGTCCTTGATGGGCTGCCGCCGTGCTGCCCCCACGCGGATGTGTCTGCGCCGGCCTGCCATGGCCGCGGCGCGCCTGCGGCGTCGCACGGGGACTTTCGTTCTTGCCTCCCTTTGCCCCCCCCCTTCCCTCCCCTCCTCCCTCCCCTCCCTCCCCTCTCCTCCTCCCCTTCCCTCCCCTTCCTCCTCCTCCCCTTCCTCCCTCCCCTCCCCCCCTCCCCTTCCCTCCCCTCTCCTTCCTTCCTCCCCCTCCCTCCCTCCCCCTTCCTCCCCCCTCCCCCTCCCTCCCCTCCCTCCCCTTCCTCCCCTCGCCTCCTCCTGGTTGCGGGGCGGCGCGTGCGGCCTCCGGGGGCGGCTGCCGCGCCAGAGTTCCGACGCCGTCCCGTCTACGCAGGTCGTGCTCTGAGGCCCGTGGGTCGCGCGCCAGCTTCGGGGCGGCCGGCCGCGCTCTCCCACCTTGGATGTTCATGGGATTCGCTGGGCTTCATGCTCATTTGCATCCTCACCCGATCACTCTGGGATTTGGGCTCTGAATGCACACCGCCGCCTGGAACGCCAGAACTTGTCCTGGTGCCCTGGCTTCCCTCTCTTTCTCCTCTCCTTTTTCCTCCTTCCGTTTTCCCCTTCGCAAAATGGCCCGCTGCGCCCCACCGTGCGCGCAAGGTGCGTGGCCGTGGCGAGCCTCGGTTTCCGCCCGGGCTGCCCGCCCTGCCGCAGCGGCGCGTGGATTTTTTGTGTCGTTGCTTTCTTCGTGTGTGCCCAGTTGTGTTTGTACAGCTCGTGTCTAGTGCTAGCCGCCGCTCGGCCGCATTAGGCACCTCGCTCCTCTCGCCTTCTTTCCCCCCCTTACGCTGCCTCCTTCTCGCTCTTTCCTGTCCTTTCGCGTGCGGCACGCTCGTTCATCGTTCAGGCCACGGTTCATCGCTTGGCTTTGCCCATCGCAGGTCGGTTCGCGCGGTGTTTCCGGTTTGCCTGGCGATTGCTTGATTCGCACGGCGGTGGAGGCCGAGTCGGGTGCAGCTCTGTGGTCGCGCTCCCCCCTTCCGGAAGATGCAGGCGAGCCTGCGGAATCGTGACCGCCCATCCTCCTCCTCCTCCTCCTCCTCCTCCTCCTCCTCCTCCTCCTCCTCCTCCTCCTCCTCCTCCTCCTCCTCCTCCTCCTCCTCCTTCTCATCCTCCTTCTCCCGTCCTAAAGGCCCCGGGTCAGCTCGTCGCCAAGAGACCGCCGCCGTGGACGTGCACAGGGTGCGCTGGCCGAGGTCGGAGGGCCCACGGGCGCTCACACGCCCCACAGCACTGCCGGGCAGTCCACACGCGGGGCACCAGAGGAGTGCGCGAAGGGCCCAGGCCGGCCACAGCGAGTGGCCGCTGCAGCTGTTCACCGCCCACCAAACCACCCCAACCCAACCCGAAGGCACCAATCTGCAGTGAATTTCCAGTTGGGGGGGGTCGGGGAACGTTGCGAAAACACACATGAAGCCCGTACGCCCCCCCCAACCCGAAATTCGGGTCTTCGGGTTGGGTTGGGGTGGTTTGGTAGGTAGTCAGCTGTTCGGGAGGCGGGGCCTGAGTGGCCGCCCAGGGCGCCCGCGGCCGATGGAGCTCGGGGCCGAGGCCGACGAGGTCGCCGAGGGCGACCGCGCGTGCTGCCCGGGCTGCGAGAGCGGCCTGACCGGCGGCCGCCGCTGCAGGAGCAGAGGAGCGCCTCGCGCACAGCAACTGCACGCCTCGGGGGGTCAGCACGGGAAGAAGGAGCTCTTTTGTCCAAACAGGCTTGCCCTACAGGAGTTCTAGTTCAAGCCCTACTAATTGATTGGTCCGTTGCCCCCCTCCCCCCCTAATTCCTATGCCCCCCGCCTAATTCCTATGGCTATGCCTGTGCCTATGCCTCCCCCCAACTCCTATGCCTACGCCTTGCGCCCTCCTCCCATCATCCTCTCTTCCTCCTCCTGTCCTCCAATCAATTTGGAGTCGACTCTGGCTGATATTGTCCTAGCTTTCCATAGCAAGCCAGCGCAATGCCTGTAGGTCTTCGCTTAAAGATAGACGCGCTGTCTTTAGACATATGACGAAAGCGCATCACTACGGCCGGTGCAAGGTAGATCGGTCGCCCCTAATCTACGACGCCATCCCCAGCGCCATCGCCCAATGCCCACGCTGTCCGCCGACGTCTGGCTCAGAGGATCGCTTCGAGGATGGCCGTCGGATGACCTCGCCGGCCGCCTCCTAAAGCCGCTGCCCGACTTCCACCTCGACGTTCCAACCTGCACCTGAGCCGACGGACGTGGAGAGCGGCGGCGCGAAGAGGGGGGCGGCGCGCGGCTCGGCGGGAGGAGGCGCCGAGAGGATGCCAGGCCGGGGCAAAGTTGGGCGAGGCAACGGTGCCGAGGGCAGGGAGATGCCGGACGAGAGCGCCCTCGCGGACCTGGACGAGGTGCCGATCGAGGAGGCGGAGCTGCTCGCCCCAGTCGTGATGAAGATGCTGCTGAACCTCGGGATGAGACAGCGCCAGACGGACTCCGCGCGGCCGACGACGGCCCGGACCCCAGTGGCGCCCCGGCCCATCATCAAGGCGAACAACAGGGCATGCAGAAGCTACGCGCGGAGGGAGAGCCAGACGACGAGATGGGGAAGAACGGCGCGATCAGCTACGCGGGCCTGGTCGGGATCACCGAGGGTTTGGAGACGGAGGGCGACGGAGTAGGGCGGGCGAACAAAGTGAATTTGTGCAAGCTGAAGACGGAGATCCAGGGCCTCGCGCTGGACGAGCGCGAGATCGGGTTCCGCGTGGCGCCGACGCACAAGGATGCGCACGCAAAGGCGGCAATGGGAAAGTCGGTGGACTCGAAGCTGACCGCGAAGTGCCTGGAGCAGTTGGGGTGCGAGTTCACAGCCTGCTCCACGCGAAGCTCGCGGCTCTCGAGGAGATCTAGACCGCGTTCCGTCGCCAGCTGCGGCGTCGCTGGCCTCAGCGCGGCCTGCGACGTCGGGTGCTGCCAAGGGATCTGGCCCCAGGCTGTGCACGAGGTCCTGGACGATCTTGCCAGCGGGGCCCAGCCGTTTCGCTGGGATGACGACAGCGCGGCCTGCGACGTCGGACGCTGCTGTGGGCTCCCGCCCAAGGGAACGCTCGAGGTTCAGGACGATCGTGCCGACGAGGCAAGAGACAGATGGGGGCGAGAACGCGGACATACAGCGGCGACGGGAGACGGCTGTACGTCGTCCACTGAAAGCTGCCACTTGCCCGAATGTTCTGTCGGGAGAGACTCTCTGCGAGTCTCGCGAGGGGGGAAGTAACGACACCGATCACGAGCCCACCCAGAATCCCTTCAGCGTAGGACTACCCGGAACGGCCTCGAGCACGGAGCTTCTAGGTCAGCTCAGAGCCTTGGGTTGGGCGTCGGCCAGTGCTCGAGCGCTGGCACCACTATGTGGTTCTCACAGGCAGTAGACAGAGTCCCCGAAATCCTATGGTTTTGTTTGGGCGGGCTCGTCCCGAAGTCTTCGGCTGCAAGGGCCGATCCTAGTGCGTTGCTAGACAGCAAATTCAGACACGCACAATACGGTTCGTTCGTTCGTCCTCCCTCTTCCTCCTCCTCCTCCTCCTCCTCCTCCTCCTCCTCCTCCTCCTCCTCCTCCTCCTCCTCCTCCTCCTCCTCCTCCTCCTCCTCCTCCCTCCTCCTCCTCCTCCTCCTCCTCCTCCTCCTCCCTCCTCCTCCTCCTCCTCCTCCTCCTCCTTCTCCTGCTCTTTTCCCCCTCCTCCTCCTCCTCCTCCTCCTCCTCCTCCTCCTCCTCCTCCTCCTCCTCCTCCTCCTCCTCCTCCTCCTCCTCCTCCTCGTCCTCGTCCTCGTCCTCGTCCCCCTCCTCCTCCTCCTCGTCCTCGTCTTCGTCCTCGTCCTCGTCCTCGTCCTCTTCCTCCTCCCTCCAGGCGCGCGCGGGCCGGCGCGGGGGGCCCGCCGCAGGAGCCGGCCCCGGCAGAGCTCCGCCACGCGGGTGGAGGAAGGGGCGCTCGTGGAGGTCGCGCCCCGGGGGGGGGGGGTAAAATTGGGCTAGGATCCTGTTGTAAAAACATGCTGTAAAGCATGGGCGACCGGCCCTCGACAGCGAAAGCGCACGGCCCTGTGCGGGGTGGGCTGTCAGGCCCCTCGTGGCGATCACTGGGCGATAGCGGGCCGATGCGTCGCCCCCTTGGCGTACCCCCCCCTAAAACAGGGCTAGGATCAGGATAAATCGCTCTCAGAGCGTTCCGGAGCGCTCTCAGAGCGTTCCGGAACGCTCTGAGAGCGGCCGCGGCGCCCAATGCATCCTACAGACCCGCCGATTCTCGGAGATTTCGAGCTATCCCGATCCGATTTTGTCCCGATCTTCGCGTCGTTTTAGGGGGGGGTAAGGTTTGAGTTTGAGGTCTTCGGGCGTTCGATGTTCCAGGTGTTCGGCTCTTGGCGGTCGCCCAGCATCTGGATGCCTTCCAGCAGGTGCGCCTCGCCAAGAGCTTTCCACGGGGTGCCCGAGTCGTCCCGAACGGCTGCCAGAGGCTCGCATTATGAGCGGGCAGCCACCAGTCGCTGGTGGAGGAGGAGGAGGAGGAGGAGGAGGAGGAGGAGGAGGAGGAGGAGGAGGAGGAGGAGGGGGAGGAGGAGGAGGAGGAGGAGGAGGGAGGAATCGAGGAAGAAATGGCACCCTTGTGGCAGAAGACCCCCTAAACTGCTTCACACAGTTGCACGATGGGGGACAGCAGCGGGGGACCACGACGGGGGGCCTGAGCGGCAACGATGGGGGGTCACGACGGTGGGGGTCCACGATGGGCCACCGATTTCGGCGGCCCAGGCGCCCTCGCCAGACGTCAGAAAGATTATACAGAACCCATACAGACAAGCTGTTCAGGGGAACAGTGCATCAACCTAAATGTCGGGCGCCGATCCAAGAAGTCCGCGCGGACCTCCGATCGTTCATGGTTATGCCGTCGCTTCGCTCTCTCAGGAAGAAGGGGGAGTAAGGAGGCGGAGGGAGGAAGAAGGAGAGACGAATAGGAGGAGGAAGAGAAGAAGATAGGACGAATACCGGCCTTCCAAATTGGGCTGGAGCTGATGGTGTCTGAGCGTCGGCAACAGTACGCGATTTTGTGCCCGTTCTTCTCCATCCCGACGTCGTCGACGCATCAGCGCTGCGGCGCGATCCTCCGACACAATCTACCCCGACCATTATCTGGGAGGCCTCCAAGGAAGAGTGATGAAGAAGGAAAGGGATGAAGAGGAAGAGGAGGAGGAAGAAGAGGACCCAGACCTTTTGCGCCGTGAAGAAATCGCGAAAGAAGGTATTTGGCAATCGCTGTCTTCAGGGGGTCCTTACTGGGCCTCATGGAGGGGTTCGGTCTTCTGGGAATCTGCATTCTGGAAAAATGCAAGACTGTTCGACGTTTGGGCCCCACCGCCAACCCAAATGGCGAGCATAAATCTGGCGTAGCCCCATAGAGATAGCCATCGGCATGTGACACCCATGCGGCGAGCCATGGGTTGCCCACCCATGGTTTGTGCCATAGGTTACATCATCTACGGGTTGCGCAATGTACGTACTGCGCGATTCATAGCTTGCGCGATCCGTGGGTTACGCCATCGCTTGGTTGCGCTACAGGATGCGGCATCCATGTGATGCGCCGCAGGTTGCACCGTGGATCGGTCCATGAGATGCGCAATGTGTTGCGCGATCCATGGGTTGCGCCATCTGTGGGTTGAGCCATGGCTGCGCCATTGGTTGCGCCGTAGGTGGTGCCATCCGCGGGGTGCGCTGGATGTTACCCCATCGGTCACGCACCTCGCCGGCCGCAGGTAAAACGGCCTGCTGCGCCCTCGATGGCCTCGGCGGCCGCAACGAAGGCTTCCTGTTGCCGGGCTGCGCCATTAGTTGCGCTCTCGGCGGCAGGAACCGAAACGGCCGCCTAGCACGCGCAACCAGTCTAGTTTGTCGCACCTCGTGAGGGAAACCACACAATAAATGGCGACGCCCGATATCACGATGTCCGGGGTCTGGACAGGCGAAGGTCAGAAAGAGGGAGGGGGGCGTAGGAGGAAGGAGGAGGACCACCACCCAGAGATACGGCACCACCCATACGACGACGTCGACTACAACGAGTCTTCCTCTCTCCTCGTCCTCTTCCTCCTTCGTCAGATGTTTGTCCTTGGAAAGGGCACAGGCCCAGGTTTTCCTTTAGTGGGTGCCATGTTCCAGGTGGGCCGACGGAGTTCCGCTCGATAAAAACTATGTCGCGCGAGCCCGCTCAAGGAAAGTGCGCCCTCCCACATCGGGCCCTCGATACAGAGCGGGATCCGCTGACCCTTGCTTCCCTTCGTACAGAAAGTGTGAGATGAACGATTTGTGCAGAATCCGATGTGAATAGCGAAAGCCCGAGGCACGGGAATGCTGGCCTGGCCGAAATTGCGAGACACAACGCTCGTTGTGCGCAGGTCCGCTCGGGGATGGTGCGCCCCCCGCGCGGGATCCTTTACAAAATGGCGGCGCATGGGCGCCAGTGGGCCTGGGGAGGCCGTGCTCGAGACTTCTTCGCGCGCGTCCAGATCGCGTTCCAGGTGCTCTACGTTTTAAGAAATGGGCGCATTCAAACCTCAGATGTCGCTCAACACCTCGTAGAAACGCCACGGCCCTGTCGCAGTCTGGATCGCACGGCGGATCGGGGCCCGCGCCCCAGCCCAGGACAGGATGTCGGGGGGGGGAGGCCGCCGCTCGAGACCCCTTCGCGGTGCAGAGGAGGGCCAGGGTGCGCCGCTCGAGACGCCCTCGCACTCCTCGAAAAACTGCTCGAGAACCACCGCGCCAGCAACATGGGTGCGCGCCTCCTCCTCCTCCTCCCCCTCTTCCTCCTCCTGACCTCGAGTATTTGGTTACTCCCTCGGAGGTGAAGCAATTGCCCGAGGAAATGATGCAGTATCGGCAGGATTTTTGGAGCGCGTTTTGGACTGCTCCTTGGGAGCAGCGTGAGGCCCTCTCGGGAGTTTTGGATGTGGTTCGCCGTATGGCTCTGGCGGCCGTTGGTGATCTCGAGCCGTTGACCCCCTGTGCGGTGTCCAGAGCTGCGCGGATGTTCAAGGCTGACACTGCTGTGGGCATTGATTGTTGGCCTCCGCGGATTTTGGCGTCCCTCCCTGGGGCTGCTGTTGGGGCCTACGCGGATCTCCTCAATCAGTGCGAAGCTTGTATGATGTGGCCCACGCAGGTGATGATGGGTATCATCGCTCTGTTACCTAAGGCGGCTGATGCGGAGCGCCCTGTTTGCAAATGCCCGTCGTTGTATAGGGTCTATTGTCGTGCGCGAGGCCGTGACATTGATGAGTGGTCTCGGGAGCGTGAAAACTTTTGGGATACCGCGGTTAGGGGCTCTTCGGCGTTGCATGCCGCGTTGTTGCGAGAGATCGGCCATGAGACTGCTAGATATCTTGGGGAGCTTTCGGTTGGGCTGTATTGGGACCTCAGTAAGTTTTTTGATACGGTGGACCCTCTCCGCCTGGCTGGATTCGCCTTGCAGATGTCTTATCCCGTTCACTTGCTGTATTTAGGTATCTTGATGCATGAGGCCCCGCGTATTTTGGAGGTCAACGGCTTCGTGTCCGACGTGATGCCCACTGGTCGTGGGGTGTTTCCTGGGTGTGTGCAATCTATGCCTTGGGTTAAAATCTACTTGTATGATCTGTTGGATTTCGCACACGCCCAGTATTTTCCTGTTGTCACTCTGGCGTACGTCGATGACATTACCCAGACGCAGCAGGGTTCTTGGAGTGATATTGTCTCGCGCATCGTGCCAGCCGCAGTTCATTTGTGTCATCAGCTTGAGCAAGCTGGCACTACAATTTCCAGCAAGAGTGCTTTCGTGTGT